ATTTTGAAGAACAAACCAATCAATACATTACAACACAGCTAAACACTCCCAGCAATTACACACAAAATCCTCCCCTCTGCCTGTGATACAATTACTGAACACAATGGGCTAACGTAATTATCACAGGCAGGAAAATACACAGTTTTACACAATATTCATAACTCTAAAAGTATACATCACATTCACATAAAACTTACATTTTCAGAATCAACATACTCCAAATACAAACATACGTCAAAATCATACAAATTGGTCCAGTGGGTCAAAAGTTAGTTGAAAGTCCCTTTGTGACCATCTGCAAGCATGGCTTGGGTGTGGTAAGCCAATTACCTTCAGCATACAGAAAATGGCTCTATTCACAACAACAGTAAAAACAAATAAAAATACATAATTCCTATTATACTCAATAGAACCCCCACATTCAACTTATCCCCAGATAGCTTGAATCTGAGCGCTCACTATAACCGAACAGTGCTCAGATACCACAAACACAATCCAATCGCCATGGGGTTAAACCATAACAACAAGTTCCAACTGGTCTGGCAGTGCCCCTGGGACAACGCCTTGCTGGAAAAAACAGACAGGAAAACGGGGGAGGGGCACACCTTCTCATGTATTCAAAGGGGCAGAAAAAGTGTTTCAAAATCCAATAACCCCATATAATGCTTACACAGGGCAAAGTCTCCCAGGGGCCATAGTCAGAAGGCAGGAGGTGGGCAAACAGGCTTCTCCAATGCCCAGTGAAGAGGTTGGTTCCACCACAAGATTCGCTTTATATTTTTATGTTTAGTCATGCTGACACAAGAGATTCATGGGCATGTTGTGGGAGTGTTCTGGGTGTCGTTGTCTGTACCCTTGCTGTGTATATAAGTGGGCCATCTGGCCATAATAAAACCAGTCTTCTTCACCCTTCACTAAGTCTCGACTAGTGTTTGGGTGATACCGCGGTAACCTGTGCAAGAAGCTATAATCACTCTGGAGCTGATCACAAGCCTGGGAAGCTTCCATTAACACTGTAATCATTCTAGGCAGGCAAGGTAAAACACAATGTTTAAGAGCAGTGATAGCAGGATGCTTGGCTTCAATGATCCCCTAAATCTTTCTAATTCAGTTAATCCTCCGGGTCGCATCAAGGAAACATAGCATCAACAGACGATAGAAAGATGGAAAGATCTGAGTTTCACCCATTGTGGGATTGTGTCAGTTGGTGACGTTATCGTAACAGACTTACACTACGGCTCTCCGGTGTGACGTGCAAGGCCAGTGTCCCAGACCTTGGGTATAAATTAACTGGTTAAGGACCAATGTCAAATGTCACTGTACACAGTGTAACACAAACACCACATAGACTCCCCCCTGGTACAAGGCAAGATGGGTGTCCCTTGCTGGCTCCATGTCTACCTGGCAGAGTTTGAAGGCGTAGATCCGAACTGGTGAACAGCTATACCTCAAACACATGTAGAGCTGGTAAGTTAATTGTTGCTAAGTTAATTGTTCACAGTTTTTATTCAACAAAAGACTGTATCAGGGTACATTGTCTTATATTCCATTAGACGGACACTCCGGCATAGATCCGACACGTTTATTTTAATGAAATAAATAAAAATTTATCACAATATGCACAAAAACAACACATTTAAAATAATAAAATATTTATATTTGATATTCATGCATTTTCTGCAAATTCCAAAGCTGTACAGGTTCTGCTGTAAACTCACAGCGAACCAGGAATTAGCTCATCGTGATACTAGAGTAGTACTGAGATTATCCGAAAGGCAGTGATTGACCTGCGCAGCAAGGGTTTCTGGGAGCTGTAGTTCTGTTCTCTGATTGCTACTCGTGAAAATCATGTTGTGATATTATGTAAAGCAGGAATTTGGGTTTAAAAAGGAAAACGCTGCAGATTGGGAGGGGGAGGTGGGATTAAGGAATAAAACCAATTATTATAAATAAAATTAATAAATTGTATTGCAATAAACGCAGCAGCTGCATTACACGAATATTACATCATGCGGCTGACTCATTACTTGCGCACTGAAGAATATTATTTTTATTTACTCATTTACGCTCTTCCTGTAGTTTCCCCCTTGGCTCGGACCCAGTTTGTCCTGAAACGCAGATTCCATCACTGGCGTTGATGTCACAATGACTTTCCCTTTTAATGGCGATGACACACACGAAACCCATTTCTTACCTTTGCCAAAGTGGAAATCTTTCTTTCGTCACTTGACTGTCTTTGAGTGGAAGAAAATCCATCACGGCTGCTCAGCGATGGGCAATAGCCAACTCACATGTTTGTGGCCGGCGAGGGAGCATTTACCTCCTTGAAGAGAGTGGAAACCATGACAGATCGCCCGACACAGAGACAAAATACTGAAAGGTTTATAGAGGGCGGACAGCTTCTGACTGGTCCAAGATCTGATGTCCAAATTAAAATCATAAAGAGACTCTGTTTGTTCTAAGATTACCTCCGATGCTGCTTCGTATTTCGCTCCCTGATCTATTCTAAGTATATTCCGGAATGGCTCAGGACATATTTTCAGTGATTAATATTTTTTTGCTAACTGTATTGTGGAGAATTGACAACAGAGCTTTAAAATAACTGATTTAGGAAAACAGATGCTGGAGCTTGGAGTAATTTTAGCTGAACTTCAGCAGTTTTGTGCCAGTTCACTTTTTAGTGAATAAAGCTCGTTTTGCATTTACAGACGATATCTTTAAAAATGTTTAAAACCTCTGTCTCTGATAGCAAACCTTTCACAGCAGATGTTTGCCAACCACATTCCACATAATTCTCTGACAATTCTGCAATTGGAAGCTTCGCCGACTCGTCCTATACTGTTGGCATCTGACATTTAATATCATCGAAAAGATATCTGTGACGAGACCAATCTCGCCACATTGCATTGGAGAAGCCTGGTTGCTCGCCTGCTGCCTTTGGACTATGGCCCCCTTTTAAAAGACTTTATTTTTGCCTGCAGAAAAGCTGTATTCGTGCTTTTCTGCCTGGGGTTCAGTAGATTTGTTTGAATGTGTTATACCCCAGATAGCAATCCCATGGAGCCCATTTGTATGAAACTGACTGTAGAGACTTTGGCTCCATGGCGATTAAACTGTATTCGTGTGGTCTGAGCGCCATTCACTTAATAATGTGCGCTCAGACCTGAGCTATCTGGGGATATGTGAAATGTCTGTGTTTTATGTATAAATGTGACTTTATGTATTTTAAAGTGTTTTGTGCCTTTTTGCAACCATGTGCTTAATGGAGTCTTGTGTCTATCCTGGGAGATAATTGAATTACTTATCTCCAGGATAGAAGACTCTGAAACTGGTTTGGGCCAGAAAGCCATGCTTCATTTAGTCACAAAGGACTTTTTACTAACTTTTGAACCCCTGGTCTGATTCATGTCATTTTTTTATATGTTGTTCCCCTGAATGGATTGATTGTGAATATGTAATTTTATGTGAATGTGATGTATGGTTTTAGAGTTATGAAAGTTGGGTAGAAATTATGTTTTAACTGTATGTGTAATTGAGTTTCCTCTCAGGATAAGGGGAGGGAATATGTGGGATGTAACTGTGATGTGATTGGTTGTTTTATACCTCCCTGTGGGCGGTCCTGTATTTGCAAGACTGTAATAAAAACCAGGCTGGGTGTGCCAGCACCTCAGACCACTGCTTGACCCTCAACACAGAGCCTTGTCTCGTTCTTGGGGGGATTCACTGTATGCTGTTAGAGACTGATTGCCAGGAGTGTAAGCCGCTTGGGTGCTTTTCCTGTTCGTCTGCTAGCAGCTATTTGGGAGGTTCCAGTTCGGGAGTTGGAGTGCTATTTTGTATCCAGTTCGGGAGTTTGGTGTACTGCAGTAGCTGTGCCTGTATCTCTGGAAAGGGGGCCGATCGCCTAAACTGGTTTTTCCCCTTTTGTGCAAAACGGTCCGTTACAATATCCTTTATGATGTGACTGCCGTGTGGCACAGCTAGAAAACAAACTTGTATCTTTGCTTACAACCATCAGTGCCAGTCCAGGTGCCAATGCAGCAGCTCAGGAAGAAATGGCAGTAGTGCAATTAGAGTCCTGCAGTGATTGCTCTTGCAATCTTTGGCTTTTCGATCCGAGACAAGAATTACAGATATAGGATTCCCAACAGTCCCTCTTTCAGGAGGACAGTCCTGTTTTTGGGGACCTGTCCCAATTTAGGCCCCTGGTATCTTTCATTTGGGAACACCAGGGAGCCGTCATCGGTACATACAATGCAAGCACATTATTAACATGCTGGCGCTGTGCTGTGGGCACTTGGACCACACAGAGAGCTCTCACGCATGGTTCTGTGGGTTGGGGGCTGTCTGTCAGCTTGTTGGGGCTGGCGCTGGCTGGGAGGCTGTCTGTCAGCTTGTTGGGGGCTGGCGCTGGCTGGGAGGCTGTCTCGCTGGCTGGGAGGATGTCTGTCAGCTTGTTTGGGGCCAACTGGGAGGCTGTCTGCCAGCTTTCTGGGGCCGGCTGGGAGTCTGTCTGTCAGCTTGCTGGGGACCGGTTTGGAGGCTTCCTGTCAGCTTTTTGGGGGCTGGCAACGAGGCTGTCTGTCAACTTGTTGGGGGCTAGCGCTGGCTGGGAGGCTGTCTGTCAGCTTGCTGGGGGCCGGCTGGGAGGCTGTCTGTCAGTTTGCTGGGGGCTGGCTGGGAGGTTGTCTGTCAGCTTTTTGGGGGCCAGCTGGGAGGCTGTCTGTCAGCTTGTTGGAGCTGGCTTGGAGGCTGTCTGTCAGCTTGTTGGGGGCTGGCTTGGAGGCCCTCTGTCAGCTTGTTGGGGGCAGGCCGGGAGGCTGTCAGCTGTTTGGAGGCTGGCTGGGAGGCTTTCAGTCAGCTTGCTGGGGGCCGGCTGGGAGGCTGTCTGTCAGCTTGTTGGGGGCAGGCCGGGAGGCTGGCAGCTTTTTGGGGGCTGGCTGGGAGGCTGTCTGTCAGCTTTTTGGGGGCCGACTGCTAAGCCATCTGTCAGCTTGTTGGGGGCCGGCTGGGATGCTGCCTGTCAGCTTGTTGGGGTTTGGCTGGGTGTCACGATTCATAGAAACATAGAATGTGACGGCAGATAAGAACCATTCGGCCCATCTAGTCTGCCCAATTTTCTAAATACTTTCATTAGTCCCTAGTCTTATCTTATAGTTAGGATAGCCTTATGCCTATCCCACGCATGCTTAAACTCCTTTACTGTGTTAACCTCTACCACTTCAGCTGGAAGGCTATTCCATGCATCCACTACCCTCTCAGTAAAGTAATACTTCCTGATATTATTTTTAAACCTTTGTCCCTCTAATTTAAGACTATGTCCTCTTGCTGCGGTAGTTTTTCTCTCTATTCTCTTGGAATTCCTCAATGTTTGATTTTAGCCAGATCGGCACTACCCGTATGACTTCTGGGTTTCGCCTATCTCTCTTCGCCCATGCGTCTGACGTCACGCGCTTTCCTTCAAAAGGAAGCCGTAGCTGCATCCAAATTGTTCAATCAATGTTTCTGGTTTTGATACTCTCCCATACTTGCTACCTTGTAGCCTATTTACCGACTGAGCTTTAAATTGATTTCCTGTGTACTGAACCTTTTGGCTTCATCCTGACTACGCTCTACGCTCGACTCCCCGACTTGGAACAAGACTTCACTTCTGATTGCTGCCTTTCTCCACATACCTCAAGGAACCATAACCTGGAATCCTGGGGGTGTGACGCCCGTGTCAGTGAGGGATGTGTGACACCCTTGTCAGTGAGGGGGGTGTGACACCCATGCCATTGAAGGGTGTGTGATGCCATGTCATTGAAGGGTGTGTGACGCCCGTGTCATTGAAGGGTGTGTGACACCCGTGTCAGTGAGGAGGGTGTGACACCCGTGTCAGTGAGGGGGGTGTGACGCCCGTGTCAGTGAGGGAAGTGTGACGCCCGTGTCAGTGAGTGATGTGTGAAGCCCGTGTCAGTGAGGGATGTGTGACACCCTTGTCAGTGAGGGGTGTGTGACGCTCGTGTCAGTGAGGGGGGTGTGACGCCCGTGTCAGTGAGGGATGTGTGACACCCTTGTCAGTGAGAGGGTGTGACGCCCATGCCACTGAAGGGTGTGTGACGCCCGTGCCATTGAAGGGTGTGTGACGCCCGTGCCATTGAAGGGTGTGTGACGCCCGTGTCATTGAAGGATGTGACGCCCGTGTCAGTGAGGGATGTGTGACGCCCGTGTCAGTGAGGGATGTGTGACACCCTTGTCAGTGAGAGGTGTATGACGCTCGTGTCAGTGAGGGGGGTGTGACGCCCGTGTCAGTGAGGGATATGTGACACCCTTGTCAGTGAGGGGTTGTGACGCCCGTGCCATTGAAGGGTGTGTGACGCCCATGCCATTGAAGGGTGTGTGACCCATGTCATTGAAGGGTGTGTGACGCCCGTGTCATTGAAGGGTGTGACGCCTGTATCATTGAGGAGTGTGTGACGCCCGTGTCAATGAGGGGTGTGTGACGCTCATGTCATTGAAGGGTGTGTGACGCCCGTGTCAGTGAGGCGTGTGTGATGCTCTCACAGCTGGGTGGCATATCTGAGAATCGTTTCTGCTCTGTGCCAGGAATCAAGGATCAGAAACATTCACACACTGTTCAGCTGTTGCCAAAAAGGGAGATGGAAGTCTGATTTAATACTCCCTTCATTCGTTTTCCATCCATCGCCCACTGCCCAACTTCCAGTAAATGGGAATGAACCCCTGCTCAGGTCAGAGGGAGGCTTAACATCCCAACAGACAGGTTTATTCAATAAACACTAAACTAATGTGAATTCAAACTCAAAAATTCAGGTTAAAACAAGCTGCAGAATTGGATGAACCTTGTCATTTTTTGGGTGTTAGACATGTTCAGCCTATGGGGACATACAGGAAGGAACCAATAGGTACAATTAGGTAAGAACTGTAATTAAAAAAACAGTCACTGTGTGTTTGTGTTTGTGTACATGTATGTATGCGTGCGTGTTTATGTATGTATATGTTTAGGCATGTGTGTGTTATATGTGTATGTGTGTGTGTTATATGTGTATGTGTGCGTGTTTATGTATATGTGTGTGTGTTATGTGTGTATGTATATGTGTGTGTGTATATGTATGTGTATGTATCTGTGTGTGTTTATGTATGTATGTGTGTGTATGTGTCTATGTAGGTGCTATATAAATAATATGTATATGTGTGTTTATGTATGTGTGCATTTGTATATGTATGTTGTGGCAAACCTAGCCACTTGGACAATAACCAGAGACTGTGCCTTTAAGGGTTGCCACTAGGTCGGGCGAGATATGCGCTGTACACATATGTAGATGTTAAGGTATTTTCCGTGTTGCCTGTAATACTGTTTCCGCCGAATGCAATTGGCGGTTTTGTATGGGGATTTTCTTTCGTTTCACGAACGGCACTTTAGAAAGCCGTTCGTGAACCGAACGCGATACCCCCTAATAGCCCACACACTTAGAGGCGTGTGGCGCTAGTTAACCGATTGCAACATTGTTGCAATCGGTTATTAGAGGCTCTCCTGGGTGGCCGTCGTTCGACTACCGACCATGCGGCGGTCGGCCATCTTGGATCCCTTGTTCGTCAGCGGGTTCGTGTCGTCGAACGCATACTACTACCAATAGTTATTCGACGGCACGAACACCGCTGAGCCTCCCAGACGTTCGGGAGTTTCAGGACCAAGTTCACCCAAAGCAATCGGTTCCTTTGGTGGGTTTTGTAAGAAATGTGTTTTCTGTGCGGCGTTCGGTTAATTTGGCTGGGATCTGAGCGACAATCTCACGAATGATGCGCCCAGACCCCAGCTATCTACCGAACGTCCATTCGTGTAAATCCACCGTTTATTTTAAAAGTTATGTATTTTTATATGAATTGCCGGTTCTGCTGCACGAGGGGATAATCCCCTTAACGGTGCATTCTGGGAGGATGATCCCTCTCGTGCAGCAGTGCCTGATGGGAGAAATATGTTATACTGTAAGTCCCCCATGTAGTCCCCTCTGGGAAGACCCCTGGGAAGGGACTCAGGAAACCCCTTGCATGGGGACTTGTATAAATTGTCGTGCTGAATAAAGGATTGTCAGTTGACTCCCAAAACTGTGTCTCGTCCGGTTATTGGGAGGTTGGGGATATTGCCTTGGTGTTTTCAGCGCTTGACTGTGGATTCGTTCTGGACCAGCCGAATTCGTGGATTTTATATTGGCGTTCCGCTACAATTGGTGGCAAGCGACGGGATCCAACTCTACAGCCGAATACAGCGCATTCGAATGAAAGGAATTACCGAACGGAAAGGCAATTCGTATGAAACAAGCAGACGAAAGCGATCAGTGAATGGGGACTGATTACACGGCGTTAAAGAGACAGACGCTAAAGGAGCTGCTGGAGGCTAGAGGGAAAAGCGCTAGCAATAAATCGAAAAGCAGTACTGATTGCAGAGCTAATGGAGGGCGACCAAGCACACAGCAGTCCACCCCCACCTGCCAGAGAGGAAACACCATACCAGAGGGAACTGAGAACCCGGCTGGAATTTGTACCACAGCCAGTAACCCTGGACATCTTAACTATACTGATGGCGGACGTCCAGGATTATATTATGGCACAGCAACACCAGAGGTCACCATCCAGGGCAGAATCCATCGCCAATTCATTCTGCGCTCCAGTGAAGCAGAAAATACCTTACCAGGCATTTAAAGCATTCTGCGAGGAGAAAGACGAGATTGACGGATACCTGCAGGATTTTGAGCGGTTGTGCGACCTACATGATCTAGAACAGGCTATGTGGGTACCCCTACTGGCAGGCAAGTTGGCAGGACGAGCAGCCGAGGCGTATCGCGCTGTGCCCAGAGAAGATAGCAAGGACTATTTTAAAGTTAAGAGGGCAATTCTGGAGAGGTATGCCATAACCCCGGAGGCATACCGGCGTAAATTTCGAGGATTGAGGAAGCCCGAGAAAGATTCCCACGCTGAGTGGGCACATAAGCTCGACCAAGCGTCGCAAGGATGGATTCAGGCGAGCCAAGCTACCACAATGGAGGAACTGCGCCAGCTCATCTTGCTGGAACAATTTTTTAACGGACTGTCACCTGAGGCACAAGAATGGGTAAGGGACAGGAAACCCCTCACCCTAACCGAAGCCGCCCGGTTGGCGGATCAGCATTTTGACGCCCGAAGGCATCATGGGCTTCCCAACAGGGCTCCCCTGAGACCAGCTGTACCACACCACCCAACCATCTCCACACCCGCCAACGCTACTCCATTCCGGCCACCATCAGGAAACCCCCCACCGCCATCACGCTACAATGGCAGGGCCAACATACAATGCCATACCTGCCGGCAGTGGGGGCATATGTCCCGGGAGTGCACCCAGAATCGGAGCAGGCAGGCGTGGAACCAAGTACGGCAAAACTCCGCGCCAAGGGCAGTGGCCCATTTCTACCACACCGAACCGGACCACTCGGAGCTGACAAGTCTATCAACCGAAGAACCATTGGGGGTTCTGTACGAGGTGATGTCGGTGCAAGCCACGGACAACCGGCAGCATCATCGCCAAGTTGTATTTGTGGGAGGGAAAGAAGTGCAGGGGCTGCGGGACTCGGGAGCCACCTTGACCTTAGTGGCCCCTCATTTAATTCCAGATACGGCCCACACTGGCGGATCAGTGGAAGTCCGGGTAGCAGGGGGAGCTATGTACCGGTTACCCACGGCCAAAGTGCATTTGAACTGGGGTGCTGGGGAGGGGGTTGTAGAGGTGGCCATAATGAAGAAACTACCGGCCGATGTTGTTTTGGGGAATGACTTGGGCCCGATGACTTCTGCGTTTCTTCCCCAGGCCCCTTCCCAAGAGGCGCATCCGGTAACCACCCGACAACAGGCTCGCACCACGGCATCCCCCGCACACTCTGAGGCTCAGGTAAGACACCATGACCCCCCCTTGACCGACATGACTTGGGACACCCCGACCACATTTGAAGCTGAGGTTCAGACAGACCCCACACTGCAGGTGTACCGAGATAGGGTAGACACGGACCAGGTGGGGCGGGAGGGAGAACGGTACGTATGGGAAAAGAAGTTACTGTACCGGGTGGCGGAACGGGCCATAGGCAGCTCTGTGACGCTCCAAACCAAGCAGCTAGTAGTACCCCAGAAATATAGGCAGGAGTTACTAAGAATCGCCCACGACATCCCTCTGTCCGGCCATCTAGGGATGACCCG